ATCTCTCTCTCTCTCTCTCTCTCTCTCTCTCTCTCTCTCTCTCTCTCTCTCGCTCAACCAATTCATCTCTCTCTCTCTCACTCAAACCAATTCATCTCTCTCTCTCTTCCTCATTCAATTCTCTCTCTCACTTTCTCTCTCTCTTTCTCTCTCTCTTTCAGTCAAAAGTGGAGGATGAGTCAACGGCAGCGCGGGTCAGCGTCTGTGGTGACGCGGGAGGTGCGTGTGGCACCGCGGGCCGATGCGGGGACGCTGGAGGGTCCGGCGCAACGGTTTCCGTTTACGGGTTGGGTTGATTGCCCAATGATTCTTGTGGATGAGCTGCCGGCGGAGCGGGGCGAGTTTGAAATTGTGGTGCGCGTCGAGCCCGAGCTGGCCGGCTTGCTGCAATTGGTCGCCTTGGACATTGCAGGTGTTGAGGAGGCGGAGGATCAGCTGCGCAGCAGCGTCAGGCCCCTTCAAGCGCCTGGCGCCGCCAAGGACGATCCCTCCTATGCCTGCCTCGTCTCAGAGGGCCATGCCTATTACGGCCATCTGGTGTTGTTGCGATCTTTCGTCATCACCCCAGGTTTTCGGCACGGCGGTTTCCTTCGCGTGGAAACCGTCGGCCCCGCACGTATTCGCAACTTCATGCAACACTATCCAGCGGACGGCTTCCGCAGCCCGAACGTTATCCACGGCTGCCAAGTTCTCAGCCTGCAAGAACCTACGCTCCCTTGGGCCACGGCCGTTCCCCCGCGCTGTCGGGTACAGAACGCTGTGCATGCGCGCTGGCTCAACCGCACGCCCCATCAAGCCAAAAAGACGGTCCGCAACCTGGCCGATTACTTTTGGCGTCAAAGCCAAGCCCCTGCTACCCCCATTCAATCATTGTTCCACGACCTCTACACCACCACGCTCGAACTGGCTGCCCACGCTGGGTTGGGAGACACCCCAAACCCCAGCCGCCTCTCTACCCTCCGTTACATCCAGTACGAACTCAATGAGGATGACATCGAGATGCCCGGCTTTGCATGTGACATGTGCAATGGTCCCGTGGCCCAGCCAAGCGACATTATCATCCCGCAGGGCTCATCTGGCTTTATGACCCGTGTCAACCCCATGGGCGTGCAACAGACCTTTATGCTGCTCCGCTTCGCAGACTCACTGATCGTCGACGGCATGGCCACCACCGCCAATTCCTACTTTCCCGGCTATGCCTGGCGCACGGCGCGCTGCGGTACATGCTCAAGCCCCGTCGGTTGGCATTTTGTTGCTGTTCCTGAAGGCGTGAATGCCGCCATGGCAAGTCACCGCCACTTCGACGACTACTACCACGATGATGAATACGACGACGATGATGACGATGAATACGACGAAGATGGCGATGACGATGACGAAGATGACCGAGGCAGCAGTCGAAATCCGGCCCAGCGAATGCACTTTGGGTTTGAGCCAAGAGGCGAGTTTGCCGCCCATGGGCTGCCTAATGCTGATCAAGATTTCGACTCCTCATCGTCCGGCAGCATGATTGAAGACGATCCACACTTTCCCATGCACGTGGCAGGCGACGACCCTGACTCTATCGTTGATATTCGTGCATTCAACATCCGCCACCTTGATCCTTATGAGCAAAACGACCCTCAGCCCACCATCAACTTGACCGATCGACGCTTTCGACTCGACAAACCAGCATGCCGTCCCGCCATGGCCGTGCTTAACCCCAGAGCAGAGGTGGCCACTCTCCCTCGAGCTTTTTTTGCCATCATGACCCGTCTTCGTTTCTTTCATCATGGCTAAGCCATAACCACCACCCCTCCCCCCCCCCCCCCCACACACACACACACATACACACACACACACCCATCGAGTATGTCTGGCCTGAATTGATTCAACTTGCCGCCCAATAAACGCCCACATCGATTGAAGTTTTGACAGCAGTCTATCTTGTGTTGTGCCCGTCAACAACTCAAGCATCGAGAGCCTCGATGTCCTCAGCCAGCCGAAGCTGCCATAGATGCACAGCATCTCGTTGGTCGTCTGGTAGCAACTCGTCCCAGGCTTCAGTCCTATGCGGGTGCGGTACAATCCAGAAGAAAAAAAGGGAAGGGGGCCAAGGGATTCAGTTCAAAGAGAAATGTGCGGCTCGTCACCGTGTAGCATGCAGGCATGTAATCTGGGGCAGCACAGACTGACCTCTCTAGGATACTTGACCAATCCTGCCCTTTTGAAATCGCACGCCCCACCAAAGCCAGCACAGCTGGCAGGGGCGCTCGGGTGACTGCACGCACCATTTCAATCAACTAATTGCAAGAGTAAAAAGCCCCGACAGCAGCAGTGTTAGCCAGATGGAGCAGAAAGGGCATGTAGTAATAACCGATCAAAGCCGAGGTGAGGGAGCACTCACTTGCGCATGCTCGCGAATGTCTAGCAAAGGCTTGACGCGTGCATCCAGTCCAAATCCAGCGGCATGCTCCTCACGCAAAAGCGTGCCCAAGATGGCGGCCGTGCCCGCAGCATCTGGAACGTCAACCACCTGCGCGCCCAACGCCACTAGTCGAGCCAGGCCGCGCATGTAGGCTGTTCCACGAGTGACTTGACCCTAGAGGCCCAGCACAAGACAAGTGAGAGAGCCAAACCAGTCGCTCCCCATGACGACTCCTTTGGCACCCCCTTCCCTCCCCGCATGAGCATCACCAAAAAGATCCCATGATCCCACTCCACCAGAAGAATCGCAAGACGATGGCCAACGTACGCCACGTGTGGGCTGGTGCTCCTCGATCACGACGACCAAACGGGACATGTTGTTGGCCGCTTTGAACACAGGGTCGGACGTGGATGAATCCTTGTGGTCCCAACGCACCACCTCTGTCGTTCGAAGACGCACCACGGCCGTGCGCGTACCCAAACAAAACATGCCCACATCCATCTTGGCAACCGCATAATTGATGTCGCTCGCCAACAGACAGTTCATGAGCTCCGCCGAGTTGAGCTCGCGCGTAGAAACCAGCAACAGAGGCCCGCAACCCGATGCGGCCGGACGTCGTGAACGTGCCGCCGCATACATGGGTGTCTCAACCAACGGCAATGGTGACCGTGAACCAAGAGGAGTCAACGGGGTTGAAACGTTCGGGGCGGGTCGCGCCGCCGGCGTGTTTCCATTGCAAATGTAAGGGGTCAGCGGCGCGCGCGCGTGCCCCCGACTGGATGGTGTCCCTTGCAACATCGGACCAGATGCCACATCACCAGCAACCTCGCGCGCCGAGCAAGAGCTGAACGCTGGAGCGTGCGGCCTGCCGGCAGCGAGCCGCGTTGGACTGGCAGCGGGTCGCGGTGGGGCACGAGAGACCGCTTCCAAAGATGGCTCCAAAGATGGTGACAGCGATGGGCCAAGCGACGGTGCATCTTCCGCCTCACTGGCACTCGGCGATGGCGTGTCCTGTACGTCTGGCACAGCATCGAGATTGGCAAGACGATACCGGGCACCGCCATATCTAACACGCGTGTTAAAGGGCAGTTCGTCGTTCTCTGGTGAATGCAAGACTGAGCGTCGATAAACAGCCCCCATCTCCTGGGTACTGAGAATATCGGCATCGGGCCGCTGTCCACGGGCTGCGGTCGACGATGAACGAGACCCGGGGGAGGTTCGCTGGGTGTGCTGCGATGCAGACCCGTTGTCAATAAACGAGTCATCGAGATCGTACTCATCCGGCTCATCCTCATCCATGTTGTCCATACCGGTTTCGGCTCCATCTTCGGCTTGCGAAGCCACAAAGTAGCGGCGCAGGGCTTGACGCTCGCGCAAAGCAGTAGCATCTATAGAGGACTTTTTCTGACGCCGGCCTCCGTCGCCCATCGGCTGAGCCATGCGCTGCTGTACGGGACCATTTTCGTCGGGCCCGTCAGAGTCTATCGAAAGAAGCGCAGGGCGAGTGTGCCGGGACCGCGGCAGCACGGGGCTTTGGAAAACCACGTCTGCCGGGCTCCCCCGTGCAGGTCTCGTGTTTGCGTGACCTGCCTGCGGGCTGGGTGAAGCCGAAGATAGCACGACCATGGGATGTGGCCGACCGCGGCGGCCACGCATCACCAATGGCGAATCATCATCGTCCTCCTCCGTCTCCATACGCGTGGGAGCCGCTGTTGAGGGCCGCAGAGCGCTTGCCGCGGGTGATGACAGTGGCTCAGACGGCAGGGGATGTGGTGTGTCAAGCACAACGCACGCTGGTGATGCCTTGAGCTGACCTTTGGTGCGCAAGGGCGTTGGGGTCGGCGGTGCCAGCTCCTGCGACCGATGAGTGTCGTCCAAGACGATGGGCGTCGAACCCGAAGCGCCAGAGCGTGATGCTGGACGCATGGGCAGGTGGGGTGAACAGAGTTCAGAGACTTGGTGGTCCGGAGGCTGAAACGATGCCTGAGATTCATGCTCCCTGCGGCTACTGGCCAAAGGAGCTGCTGCCCGTGCTGTCGGCATGTCGTTCACCGACATGGTCGTGCGCCCAGCCTGCGAGGCTCGAGGCAACTGCGAAGCTCGCGCCATCAGAGAGCGTTGATATCCGGTTAAAGCAGACTGCAGTACGGTCCATAGCGCGGACGAGGTGCGGCCACTTTGGGCTGCAACCACACGTGAGGTCCATGCAAGCGTGGCGTCTGACTCGCGTGATTTTGGGGATGGCGCTTCAGCAGCCGGTGAGGTGGGTTTCGTGGTCAACTCTGGGGGCATACCGGCGCGGCTGGCACCAGCCAAAGTTGCAGCGGATTTCTGTGCCGCAGGATGGGAATGTGACGGAGACAAGAGCGCGCGCAGCTGATGGGCAGGAACACGCCGTCGGGGCGGCACGGGCGATGAAGTAGCTGGCCCAGATTCGAGGGCCGTTCCCACAGCGTTTTGTGACGGCTGAATAAAGCCCACCTCGGGTGGGCTGGCGTCCTGACTCCATACTGGCATTTCCTCATCGTTGTACGACGGCTGAGGCGACGCTGCACCTGTAAAAGTTGGGCTGGAATGAGTGGGTCGCCCTGCAAAACCTTGCCCTTGAACGGCGGGAGCAGCGCGCTCGTCGCTGCAGCGGACAGGAGACCATGGTGGCGAGGCGTGCAAGGAAACCCGTGGTGATTCAAGTCGGTCGGCGGACGGCAGGTGAGCCGCCGCCGCCTTGGAGTTTGTGCCTTCGGTCACCACTGCCAAGCCCATGACCTCGGGAAGATCGTCGTCAGAGTCCCAGCCGTCATGACCCATCAGCGGCGTGTCCAAAAGGCCAAGATCCATGTCCGCCACTTCCAATTGTGGTGCCGATGCAATGGTGGCACGCTTGGCCCGTTTGCTGGCTGGAGCCGCGACATCGTCATTCACCCCAGAGATCTCTTCACGAGCCGCCCCTGTTTTTGCTCCCCAGAACGAGTCGGACGCCCAATCTTGGTCGATCGAGCTGTCCTCCTTCTGAAGGAGCCGCAGAAAGGCTTGAGAGCGCCGACTGGGAGCCAGAAAGCTGCGAAACTGATCCACCATGTGTAGATGGCTGTAACGTCCGGAGCGAACGACAGCTAGGGTTTGTTGCTGGCGGAGCTCCTGGCGGACCTCTTCCCACTGCGCCGCATCAAAGGCCTCGACCAACGCGGTGGTGTGGCCGTTCCCACGGTCTGCGCGCCGGCGCGCACCTCGCCCGGAGATCTCCGAGGGTGGAGTTCCGGCGGCTGCCATTTGTCGTCGTTGCACCTGCAATGCAACAACAAGTCGACGGGTACGTATGAGAGCAGAGACACAGCTCGCATAAGGCAAGGGGGCATGCAAGCGAGACTGGGGCCAGGCCTGGAACGGGTGCATGGTGCAGAGTCGACCAACCACGGGTTGAGCAGGCAGTAGAGCTGGACTGAGATTGGACATTTTAAAAGAGTTGCTGCCCTTGACAATGGCCTGATTCCACGAATGCACAAGAAGCGGGCCTCTGATGTGAGCAGGGGAGTAGAAACGAGAGAGAGAGAGAGAGAGAGCGAGCGAGAAAAAAAGAAAAGAAAAAAAAAAAAACAGACTATGATGACCACACCTTGAAAATGTGATTTTTGCCGTCAGCGCTGCGCTTGTAGAGGCTTTCCTCCACATTTGCAGTCATGAGAAAAACGATTTTGCCATCCCGCTTGCGGCCTGTGCGGCCCGATCTTTGCACGAGCCGTGTCTGAGAACCTTGTTGATCATAGCATACAATGAGGTCAACGTCGCCAATGTCCAAGCCCTGATACATTGATCCAAAACACAGACGCCAGAATATGAGCTCGCAGCGGCGATTTTGATGGCTGTTGGCTAGGATTGGCTGATGAACGAGAACGGTCTACCTCCTCAGCCACGCAAGTGGCCACCAACACGTTGTACTGGCCATTCTTGAACTGCTGAAGCACACGTGCTTGCTGCGAAACACCATGTGACATTTGAATTTGCCCGCCTAGGCGAGACGGGCGAAGACCGAGCCACTCTAATGACGAGAAGGAGCGGCATTATCAAGACACACCTCCTTTTGCGTCAGACCCTTGCCGGTGCCTGTACCCTTGCCCTGACCGATAAACGGGACGGCGCGAATCAGATTGCCGTGTCGATTCAAGACGTCCGTAATGTCTTGCACAGAGTCTCGAATCTGAGCAAAGAGGAACGGTGAGACCAAGAACGAAGGGTGTGTTGTCAACACTGGAAATGCAGCCGCATTGGGACTTGTTGGCGCCCGGACATTTTTTAAAATCCGGGGTGCCAAAGGATCTTACCGTAGAAAAGACCATGGCCCGGGTGGCTGTGGCACCCATGGCTGTAAAGTGGCTGTGCAGGATATCGCGCAGCTTGACGAGCTTGGGATGGCCCACAAAGTCGGCTGCGCGGCGCGGTAATGACAGCACGATTCAGATCAAGAGCCAACTGCTCCATCTATAGGATAAAAAGGTGACACGATGACGTACGGTTGTTCTCCCGCTGCTCGCGAAAGCGTTTGATCACGGCCTGAGCCGCCGGGTTCTTTTGAAGTTCCTTGCCTAGCCCGCAGCGTAATGGAGACCAAAATGAGTGCGTCGTGGACCAGCAAAGGTGAAGCTACGGGCACACTGGGGCGGCTGCGACGCGAACCCCGGCCGAGGCAGCCCAAAATGATTTGACACACCAATGTATTTGGCCTTGTCAATCCCATTCTCAACCGAGATGAGAAAGGGGGTAATACCATGCTTGCTGACCGTGCCAAAAAGCGTGCTGAGAGACATGAGCATGGCAAACGAATTTTCGAGAACTCCCTTTTTCAAAGCCCCGCCACCACTGTCATCGATACACGCACAGTACAAGTCCCGTCGAGGTCTATGTGAGCCGAGAGCCGGGGCGAGAAGGCAAAGGCATCCTGCAAGACACGCACACACACACACATACGTACATGTCACCACTTCGGGCTCGATCTCGGGTAATGGCCAGCATTCGCGAAGTCAACCGATCCAAGGTCTACAAGACAAGATGGGCAAGAGTCAAGAAGCATCACTTATTTAGTCCTTGCCACTGGCGAGCAGGGCTCGGGAGCCCACAAATCGTTTGCCATGCTTCAAAAACTTTGCATCTCGTGAAGCACAGATTCGTGGTCAGAGCGTAGCGGCCTCACCGTTTCGCCAAGCACTCGCCCTTGAACCAAGCGCTTGATAAAGGGCTGGGCGACCCGGTTCAGCATGGAGCGGCAGGCCTCAATGTCTGGACTCATGGGAACGACGACTTTTTCTGCCTGCATGCCCGCAGACAGCGCCACCCAAGAGCAATGAGCACCGGCATAACGATGACATAGTTCGATCGCATCAGTTGGCCAGACATCGTACGGTTCGCTGATTCACGTAAGGAGCAACGTCAGCGGCCTCTTCGCCGCGAATCTCAATGGCGTCAATGAGCTAATGTGGCCGTAAAATTCATGTTGGAGAACAGGAACAAATTTGAGAACCGAATTATATCCGTGCCAGCAAGGTCAGTGACACACAGAAGAGGGGCAGAACTAATCCAACTTCTCGAAAGCGACCCACCAAATTTGTGATGACCTCTTGCACCTTGGTGACCGAATCACCCGGCGTAGCCGAAAGGGCCATGACGCGAAACTGTGAGCTTTCAGCCAATAGACTCTGGGACCAGGTAAAGCAAGCCGAATAAAGAGCATTGCACGGGGCAGATGACCAGAGCACACGGTGAGACCTGCCTCATGAGTGGATTCGGCCTAAACATGCACGCAGCTGCGATCAACAGATATACCTGAATAAAGAGCGAGTAGGCGTGGTTGCCCAGAGCTCGATGGGCCTCGTCAAACACGACGCACACGACCTCTCTGGCTGAAAAGTAGCCACGCTGCAAGTCACCTGCCAACCCACGGGTGACCCAGGTCAAGAGGAGGGAAGATACTACCGAGCGCTACTTGACAGTGGGTGCAGCAGGTGGGGACGTACGGACAGCACACTGTGGGGTGAGGAAAAAGACACGCTTGCGCTGCCAGAGCTTGTCGCGGTGCTCGTGCTGCTTGCTGCCTGCGGTCGTGGCGATCATGACAAAGATGGTCACATGCAAACAGCCCAAGTGAGACTGCACAAGGTCAACAAGACAAGCCCAGCCGCTGAAGTGTTGACGCGGCTCGCCAAGCATCAAGCTCAGGGCCAAAAAGAATTCTGAGCTGCCTACCAGTCATTTCACAAATGTCTTCGGCCCGGAACCCCATAATCTGATAACAAGCGTTGACTTGCTGAGCCACAAGGGGCTTGGTGGGGGCCATGAACAATACTTTGCCATTGGGGTACCAACGCCAGAAGTTGTACATGACGACGGCAGCGATGAAGGTTTTGCCCAATCCTACAGTTTGCACAGGCCGACACTGAGATGCATGGCAAGCGCAAGTTTTTCAGAAAAAAAAAAAAAAAAAAAAAAAAAAAAAGCTTGAACACGCCACGCAGGATGGCACGGGTCGCGATGACGAAAGACTCGTGCCTGTGGGCAAGGAGACAAGGGTGTTACAACGCAAGCATTTTTCCGCGATGCTGAACTGATACTTGCGCTCGGGCATGTTGGTAGGGAAGATCCAGGTGCCTGGCGTGTGATTTGCATGGCATATTGCAGTGAGAGTGGGATGGATGCTTGCAAGGAGAAGGGGGCTTGCAGCTAGGACTGTGCAGAGCAGCAAGTGCTGACAACGGCAGGAACCGACCTTGGGCCGCTGAATCGAGGCAAGGATAGCCCTTGGCATCAATGCCGCCGCCAGGGCGGGCAGTAGAGACGATGGCGCCAGGTCCCGTGCGAAGCGGAGAGCTGACTTTATCAACCCCAGTATGGGGATGCCTTGTTGACCCAGCAGAGTTGCTGGGCTGGCGCTGGGCACGCGCGCTGGACATGAGGTCGGCCAGCGCATTGCGATGGCTCGAGGGGCCTGTGCGTTGGACGGTGGGGCCACCTCGCTCGAAGCGTTCCATGGCCAAAAGTGCAGCGGCATCATCATCATCACCATCATCATCATCCTCATCATCATGGACGATGACCGGACCAGTTTCATGGGTGGCGGCTGCGCCCGGCTGTTGGCGCTGCTGCTGTTGGCGCTGCTGCTGTTGCTCTTCCTCTTCGGCCTCCAAATCATCCAGTAAATCCTGCATGTCCTCGTCATCGCACGCCGCCACCGCTGCAAGGGTGCTGGTGGACTTGACGGGTACCGCGGGGCCAGCCGCAGCCGAGGGCCGGCTTTCAGACCTCGTCACCACGGCTGGACAGCTGAGTAGATGCATGTCCATGCGCGGCAGCGGCACTGCCGCCTGGCAATGTGGACATGGCAGCTCCATACCACCGCAGCCCCCCCCGGCCAGTAGCCAGCGTTAACACCCTGCTACACGTTCGAGAGCAGCCGGCACGGTGCGGCTCATCACCGCCACCAGTTCATCATGCTACCGCGCTGCCCTTTCTCTCTCTCTTCTCTCTCGCTCGCGCGCTCTCTCTCTCTATTCACGAGAGAGAGAAAAAATACCAAAAAGCCGCTCAAAACCGTCGAAGCGACGATCGTTTTTCTGACATTGAATCGACGAATTTTATATTTTTAAATGCGTTTTCTTACACTACAGTCATGTTGGGAACGTAGCAAAGTCGATATTTTGCTTCATCTTGTCTCTGTTGACCGTTACAGGTACATAAATTCCGATCAATTTCAGCTGAATTTTCTTGAATTTTGCTGCGCGCCGTCATTGGCAACCTGGTGCTGTGCGCGTTCTCGGCTTGTTTGCAGCGCACATCAGAGGCAGTTTGATCAACCTACAACATCAGAGGCTCCTCATTTACCCACTTTGCCCTCGGCTCTTACTACGATTTGATTTCATTTGATCAGTTGTGTCTGGCAGCAACCTTAAACTCTTTATATCTGCTCGGCTCTGTTTGAAGCCTGAACATCTTTTTTTGAAGCCAGCATTACCTTTGACGGTTGCCTCGCTGCGGACCATCTACTCTACTCTTTTTTATTGGCCGTGGCATGTATCTTCTTCCGCTGCACTCGAGTGTTGTTGCTGCTCGCTCGCCTTTATGTAAACCCGCCCCGCGGGTTTATCGTACGTCTTCGTGAAACGGTATTACTACACGGCATGAATGTATTTATCAGGACCTTGATCCCCCATCTACATTGACATGTGCATGTCCAACCATTGTGGTTGATTCAAACGATCGATTTATTGGCCTGGTCAATCGAGCTGATTCAAGCACTCGGCAACACGCTGAAACATCCTTGAACCGGCCATGGAAACTATCAGCGGGAAGACCGCATAAAAAGTGGGTTGCCACAGTTACTGCCGCCAGAGACGCCAACGTCATTAGAAAGACAACTAGGCTGTGCGTTGCAAAGACAGCGCGTCCAGTTCCAGACTTACGGAGTCACTGCTTGGCAGCATGGTGTCATCAAAGCTCCAGAGCAGCGAGGTTGCCAGGGTCCTCCTCGACAGGGTCTTCCTCGACAGGGTCTTCCTCGTCCTCGATGTTGACGATCAACTCGCCTGGCACGTACATTTCTCCAATGCGGCGCCGCAGAGTTTGGCAGTACTTGGCGTAGGCCGTAAACGTCAGCGAGTAGTAGGCAAGAATGAGCTTGTGGTTTCGGTGGGTTGCGGTTGTTCGGGCGGAACGAGATCCATCGACAGGCTGCACCCAGTTGAGGGGCGGCAAGGCAGCGCCCGTAATGAGCTCGATCATGGCGCCGTAGTTTTATATAAAGGCTGAAATGTGGGGCCGGAGATCACTGGACGTGCGCAACGTTCCGGCCCCAGAGAAGATGAAGGTGCGCTCGAAATCGTTGGTGAAGCGCTGATACACTTGCCTCATGAGGGTCTGAATATCCCCTTGCGCAAAATTACCAAGAGCCGCCTCAGCGATGTGGAGGTCGTTGTTGGCCATTGTCAGTTGCTTCTTTTGCGTCGGGCAGGACAGGTGAAAAATGGCCATCTCCACCCTCAACCCTCGCCTATGCTCAGGTTGTATCCTTTTCTACAAGCATTCTATAGATAGTCCGTCTGATCACGTCCGTGTGGAATCAATTTCAAAGCAAAGCTACAGTCCCTACTACCAACCAAGTCGGAAGCAGCGCGCACACAAGACACACATTCGCACGTTTTGCCTTTAAGAGCAAGCAAGCAAAGCAAGAAAAGCAAGCAAAGCAAGAACAGTTGGAAGCCAAATTTGAAAGCAACCACTCTTTTTTTTTTGACAACTCACGATGCCAAAAATTCACAAAGATGAGATTCAATGCCACCTGAGCGCAGCGTTGGCTACTGCTGAGCAAGATACAGCTGGCTTAGGGTGCTTTAAAACAAGCAAAGACACGGTCAAACTGCCCTTTGCTCCAGGCGGTTAGTTGCCAAAGTCACAGGCTGGGTTGGCACAATCTTCGTCGTCTTCGCAGGGCTCATACGGCGTCTGGCCCAGAACATTGCCTATGCATGTGTGGTTCAGTGCATGAATGCGAGGGGATGTGCGCACATGACGACAATTGTGCGGAGCAGCATCCGTTGGCGTGCGGAGGCACTGACCTGCGGTGCGGTAGTGGCAGACGAAAAGGCGCTGATTGTTGTCGCAACTTTTGAAAGCACAGCCAACATACTCCGAGTCTGCATCAATCATCTACGGGAACGTGACCACGCAGAGGTTGTAGGCTGAGGACAGAGCCAGAAACAGTGCAGCTGGCTTTCACTTGAAAACTGCGTGATTGCCCACGGACCTGAGTGTAATGGCCAACTTGGGGCGAGTCGGGGGCAAAGTCGTCCATAGTCAGAGCGTGAAAGTCCCAATCTTCCTTTTCATCCGCCCAAGCCTAACCGAATCAAGGATTGGTGCTGGGGTCAGTTTTGTCGCCCATTCACCATCGCGCCCCATGCCCGAAACCAGCTTTTTTTTGCTTCTCTTCCAGGAGTGTGGGACGCACCTTGGAGAAGATCTTGGCATATTTCTTGCGGTTGATGCCGCCGAGGTTTCCCAACGCCAGCGACTCACCAATGAGGGCGTCTTCTCCCGCTGCAACCAAAAACACAAAAACAAAAAAAAAACATTCATGTGAGCACGGGCGGATTGTCAAGCAAGCGCGTATACGCAAGCACGTACTTCGCTTCTTGTACTTCTTGGCACGGTACTCGAATTCCGAGTGCTCAAAAACACACTTCTTCGCCACCCTTGGGCAGCCACCAAAAAATAAATGAACCAATAGCAATCAAGCAAGCAAGACAGGCGAGTCGGGAATGTTTGATCAGCATCAAGATTGGGCGCCTTCATCATGCTCTCCTCAAGGTGCCGGGGCAAGGACCGCTACCTTTGGGACAAGGCTTACTTGTTGGCCGTCCAGGCAAGATCGGGGTCCCACTTCATTGTTGTCATGTCCCGAGCCGGAGGCTCCACGTTGCACCGTTCCTGTCGTGCGGGCTTGCAAGTGAGGGACCACGGCCGACCGCGCCTGCACCAGCAGCAAGCCTGCGCTGCGCCAGCACGTACCTACCTTGTTGTGGACGTTGAGAATGCGGTAGATAATGTCATCTCGCTTGATCTTACCGGCATTGGCGCCGGGCGTGACCATGACCACCATGGCCACGAGGGCCAGTGCGGGCAGCGCGCTCCAAGCCATGCTTTTCGTCAAAGGGTAGAAGACTGGCAGCGGGATCAGGTACCAATGGAGCGACGGATCCGAATACGCACTGTACTTGGCAACCTCGGTTCCAGCTCAAAAAATGCTCTGCACTTTGGTTTTGAAAAGCCGTGGGTGGCCTCCGGTTGACCATCTTTGGTGAGTAACACCTAACCCCGACGTGTTTGAAGATTGGAGGGTCACGAAACACACGAACAAAGGCACAAGCAAGAGGGGGCGGTTGTTGACTCGTGTGGTGACGACTTGACGCATGGACCTCGTCAAACAGATTGAGGCCGTGACCCGAGCTTTTCGAATGCGCCATGGTCAAGCCAGGGCAGCAAAGAGGCCATCATTTCGCTTGACCATGCAAAACACCCATGCCCGAGCTCTCCCTATCGTGTCAGCCCACGTCCCCGCCAAAGGCCATCAAGCACCACTCGGCCCTCGTCTGGCCCACCCACCCCGAAAAGAATAGAATGATTCAGCCGGTAGGCCTGGGTGTGCTAGCCGGAGCCCATCATGCACACCTGCATGTGACGTGCATGTATGCTGAGTCCTGCTTGAAGTTGGCAAGCTGGACTTCGGTCAAAGTGGCGGGAGGATCAGCACCGGATCCCAGCACCATCCATGCATGCACGCAATAACACTCTTGAGAGGCTTCGTAGTAAAATATGTTATAAATGCAGTTCTCAACGGCGATCAATGCAGTATAACAATATTATATAACATCGAGATACTGAAGAACAATACTAACTTGTTGCATCAAACCCAATAAAGTGTGCTTATGTAGTGAAAAACTGGTGTAATGTAGATATGTTAACCTTTTCATACTTGAAAAACGTAGAGGAAAACTCAGTTTATGCGTGTGTTCGGAGCGTTGTTGATGTTTGACTTACGACTCGACTCGTGCGCGCGCCTCGCGGGCCACTGCTCGTTCTTCTTCTGTGCGTGTTTCGAGTTGAGGTGGCTCTGGTGCTGGGGTAAGAGGCAAGCCCCCCCTATTACAAGCACGTTGCCACCCTTGGCAGTGGGCGGCTTCTCATCTCGATGAAGATGGATCGGTGGACGATCGTCCTGGTGGCGGTGGCGATCTGGTGCTTGGCAGTGGGCTCGCATGGGCTGGGATCAGCCGCCGAGCCCGAATCGAGGCTGCGCCTGGGTATGACCAACAGCTCGCGCCCCAACATTGTGTTCCTCATTTGCGAATCCATCGACGCCAAGACCTTTGACGAAGACTCGCCGGTGCCTCTGCCCAACATCCGCAAGCTGATTCAGGTTGGCTCCTCGTCCCATCTCTCCGCACGCGCGCGTCGGTCAAACTCGACTTGCTGAAAACGCACACTGTCTGTCTGCTGCTTTGCCGGCCAACTGCATCATTGCACCTTACCCCATTTTGGCTTGCAAATCAATGTAACCACAGCGTGGCGGTGTCTCGTTCAAAACCCACTACGTGTCGGCACCCGTGTGTGCGCCGAGCCGGACCTCGATCCAGCAGGGACGGCATGTTCATCGCATTCCACACGACCACAACGGCATTCAGGTCAATGGAGGTACGCTGCTGTTTGTCAAATCAGACAATCTCATTTTTTTTTTTGATGTTCATCCCTCACCAGAGTCCATGTGCTCGGTGTGCCACCAACCTTGCCGCCATAGCTTGGAACAACTATGAGGGCATGGCGCCAGACTATGACATGAAGATCGGTGACGTGCTCGGCCGCACCGGCTATGATGTCAACATTCTCGGAAAAACAGACTGGACCGCAGGCAAGCTGTGGCACGCGCTTCGACCCCATGATCGTGTTCCTCCGTCGACGTGTCTTCCTCACGTTGCTGTACTCTTCTGGCCTGCCAACCCTCGGCCCTTGGTGAACCACAAAAATCACCTGTTCACTGGCCTGAGTATAGGTGGCCACGCCCTGTGGAATTGGTGGCAGTGCTTTACCATGTATGTTCGTTGGGCACGCTCTCTGCTTTGCTACAGCGGGTCCGAATCGCCTGATCACGTGGCGCACAGGTATACGCAATTTCCCTATAACGTCACCAATGGCGGATGGAACGAACAACCCGAGACGCAGGCAGGCGAAGGTGCTGTATGTGACGCTCATGGTACGACCGTATATCTCAGATCTGCCCGGTCCTGATCCCACGCACCAACTCGTAAACGTTGAGGTGTTAAATATCCGGACATGTCATTCATAATCTCAGGGGACGTGACTCCGGGCAATCGGTCGCATGATGTCGACTGGATGTTTGTCGAGCAAAACGTTGCCTACATTCGCAATCATTCTCAGAGCCAGCCCTTTTTCGTTTATCAAGTTTGTAGTCTTGTTGCCCGTTTTCCTAGCTGCTCTTGTTAAAGAAAATAAAAAAGAGCCCTTGGCCACTCAAGCTCAGTCTCTTGTTCTGGGTGTGCAACCATTTGGCATGTGTGATCCTGTAGGGCATGGATATCGTTCATCCACCAGTAAGTGAAAAGTGCGCGAGCAATCCTGACTCTGGCCACCATTCCATCTCCAACACATGACTTTGACCTCATGCCTGCATGTATCCTGTGCCGCAACCGACGGGGCAACCCTTGGCCTCGATGAATGGCCACACAGTGTGTGTAAAGCATGGCTGTCATCTGCTGTTCCGAAACACGTTCCGCGTCTTGTGTTCGCCCTCACTTCAGCTGGGTATGCCATCAGATCAAACGTGTGAGAAGTTTTACAACATGATTAATGAGAGCGACGTGACGGTGCCCGACTGGGCTCCACTGGACGAGCTGCACCCCTGTGACCTTCAGTCGGTTATGCTCAAGGGTATGTGTCAATGTGTGAGCGTGCGAGAGCGGCTGTATTGTGTGCAGCTGACTCGGACCAGCTCATGTGTGATGGACGTCATGTATTTGGGGCTGGGGGAGCCAGGTTGTTTGCCCAATCAAGACAATGCAACTGCTGTCACCAACTTTTACTCCAAAGATCGACGCCGCCGGGTCCGTCGGTACGCCAAGCCATCCTGCTCGACTTTTACCACCAAATGGCGACACAGCTCTGCACGTGTTGTGGGTTCTTTTCGAGCCTCAATTGGCTATGCTGTCGCGTCTCCCCCATCTGGCATCGCTAGCATTTATTATGCCATGATCGCGGAGTTTGATGCCATGGTCGGCGAGTACATGCAGGCGGTAGAGGACGCCGGTAAGAATCGATGGCGTGTGGCCTGAAACTTCGTTTGATTGATGGCACGTCTCCGCCTGTTTCGAGCGTCTCTTCATCTGTTTGCCTTTCCTTTCCACTTGGCTGGGTTGCTGGGCAGGCCTGATGGACAACACCTACTGGGTGGTCACGGCTGATCACGGAGACATGCAGGTTCGGGCCTTCATTGGCAGGTTTGCCACTTTGCAAAAAGATCAAACTGCGCGAGGATGTCAAGTCACTCTCTGGGTTGCCTTTTCAGATGGAACATCAACAATTTTACAAGATGGTACCCTATGACCCATCCTCACGTGTGAGTCAATCTGGGCATCATGCACCGCCAGGCAGAGGTCCTATCATGGCTGCCAACTAATAGGTAATTGCTGTTTAGGTTCCGCTGGTGATTGCTGGCCCAGGCATCAAAGCAGACACGGAGACGCTTCCCACACAGCACGTGGATCTTTATCCCACTTTTATGGATTTTGGTCTGTGACAGAGCGAATGGACGGCTTGGTTGCAACGGTCTTGTCGGGCCGTGCTCAACTTGCGTCGCCTGTGGGGATGTCCTCGTCGTCTACACTGTAGGACAAGTGCCGGCTAGCATGCGGCCCGAGGGCTTGGACGGCATTTCCTTGGTGCCGCGCGTGGTGGAGCAGAAGCCACTGGCCAACACGAGCTTTGCCATTTCGCAATTCCACGGCGCTGACTTGGGCATGAGCTGGTACCTTATTCGCTATCAGGTGGGCCATGCAGTCAAAGAAAAGGCAGTGCGCATTTGATTGAGGTCGTCCGTTGGTTGGCTTTTAACATACGTGCGTCTGGCTCATCCGGGGCACGGACACGTAGAACTGGAAGCTGGTGACCTATGGAACGGGCCAGGAGGTGGCGCCACAGCTTTTTGACATGGTGAATGACCCCGGGGAAACGCACGATGTGCATGCGCAGCATCCGGATCTTGTGGCACAACTTGATGCGCTCTTGCGCAGCCGCATCGACTATCCCTCTGTTAGCCTGGACGTGGCCACATACAACTTGGTATGCTCTCGTGTTGGGCGAGATGTGTTGGTTGAAGCACTTGGTGATGGCAGCATGCGCTTGGCTAGCCGGACATGTGCCTCATCGCAATGGCTTGATCATGAGCGACTTAGGCCATGGGCAAGTGGTGGATCAATTCGACGGGGCCTGGCTGGAAAGACACCCTTGCCTCCTTTCCATCCTGGGGCGCCTCATGGGCTCGGTCAGTCCCATCTGCCGACCGGTCGACAGCAGATTCAATCCTCAGAACCGTACCATTTCCATCTCACCCCCGGCCCCCTTCTGTCCCCTTGCACCCACCCAGCAACTCGACAGGTGCCTGGGCAGCCTTTGACGCCTGGCTCCACCGCGAGCCCGAAATCCTCCCCTGTCGTGGCGACATGGTTTGGCCCTAAGCAAAGCACCGTAGTGTTACAGTGTGTTGCTTTATAGTTAAAAGCATTATACTTTACCGAGGGAATACTATTTTATCATCACTGTATTCGTCTACTCCTGCTGAGTCATCGTTTTGGTCAGGTGTGAAGAGACTCAAGCAGATAAAGTGTAGCAGCAGTAACACATTGCATTAAAGTGTGAGATGAGTTACACTTGGTAAACCTATTGGTGTTGTATTTTTTGGTTTTTGAGGTAAAAAAGAGAAAAAAGAGAGAAAAAAGAGGAAAAATCACAAAAAAAAAAGTTGAAACGGCAGCGGGTCTGGCCAGTGGGTCACTGGGAAGCGGGGTAGTGCTGATACTGGTCACTGCCTGCTTTGTGGCGCCTTTCTTCTCATTGGGCATGTGGAGCATGGGTTGTCTTGATGGCTGGTATAGCGCTTGCTCATCTGGTTTGCTAAACGACGATTGAGGGGTTGAGCCTTTAAGAGAGAGAGAGAGAGAGAGAGAGAGAGACGTCGTGTGCCACTGGATCTTGGAGATGGCAGCCCGCCTGGCTGTTTTGATTTCTCCGTTGCGGATATGGATTGCTGCGTGTGGTGTTCAAACCGTTGGCATCTCGACATGATGCGGCCCTCACATTCATTCTCTCTTGCGGCGTCTTTAGGATCCGTTCGCGGGTTCCGCCTTTATTTTTTCATCTGTTTGGCACTCCTTGGCCTGCAAGCTGCTGGATCAGCGCGCAGGGGAACCTTGAGCTTCAGTGTGACCGGAAGCTTTGCCTGCTTTTCCATCACCAGTAGCATGTCCGGCAAGTTTACCATCTCGGCTATTCTCCCATCTCTCTTGATCGTGCACTTTTGCATGTCGCATTTTGGTTGTTCACCTGAAAGGCACGCACGAAAGACACGCACGCACACTCACACACCTCACATGGGCCATGATAATACTCTGCAGTGACGGTCAAGGTGCTGTTCGAGTATGACCCTCAGAACGACGATGAGCTACGTCTGGTCGTGGGCGGTACGTCTGCCGGATATTCGCGTGCCTTGGTCTTGCGCATGGACTTGTTTTCTTTCATCACCTATCGACATTCGCGGTTCTGCCCCACCAGATCTAATCACAAACGTCAGCAAAGATTCAGACGGCTGGTGGTCCGGCACAGATAAACACGGGCATCACGGCGTGTTTCCAGACAACTTTGTCGAGGAAGTACAAGCCCCTCCCCCGGCCGCCGCGACTCCAGCCCCGGCTGCTGCGACCGCGCCCAGCCGGCCAGCCCCGCCCCCGATTGCCGCTCCTGCGCAGGTTGGTTTCTTTGATTGCCAAGGAGCAGGCTCATTCTAATTGCTCGGCAACGGTCCAGGGGACATCCATTCCTGACATAATGCGTCTCCTTTCTGGGTAAAACATGCAACGCATAGCCGGCCAAGAAGTATTGCAAGTGCACGTTCGAGTACGACGCTGCCAATGACGATGAGCTCACCCTAGCCGTCGGTGACGTGGTTGAAATTGTCAATCAGGACGACGAAGGCTGGTGGGAAGGTTTGTTCTGTATGGCTTCGCTTGAGAGCCCCCAGTCTTCCTCAACCGATCCCACCCGTTACTCTCATTCTGTTTCTTGGTATACGTCAGGTATCCACAAGGGCAAAACCGGCTTGTTCCCCAGCAATTTTGTCGAGGAATGTCCGGCGCCAGCGGGTGCCGCCCCTGCAGCAGCGGCGGTGGCTGCTGATGATGATCAAGACGTGCGTGATTGTCGCCAATGTCGGCTCTTTTCGCTTCGTGCAATGGTCCTCTTGGGTCCCGCTTGCGTGTGCATGAGACCCCGGCGAATGAGGAAACGCCCCTGCTTCTCCCCTCAATTTGCGTGTATGTTCGTTCCTTCATGCAGAATGCCAATGTGATCCAAGCCAAGAAAGTACAGGGCATCGGTTTTGGCAACATCTTTGCCGGTGGTTCCGTGGCCTTGCGCAAGACGAGTGTCAGCTGTAGGTATCGGACGACGTGGGCTATGGCTGGTTTCCACACGTGCACATGTCGTCTCATGGGCGGTGCCTTTGACTCTCATCCTTCAGCTAAGAAACCCCCGCCGCCAGCTTCTGCCCCGGCCGAGCCCGCGGCAGCGCCCGCTGCTCACAAGCCGCCGACCACTGGCCCGACCAAACCGCCAGCACCGGCCAAAAAACAATTCAAGGTGGGGAGCGCTTGTGCAACCATCCTCCCAGACAAGAAAAAGTCCATGAGCCACAGCTCACTCGTGCATGAGCCAAAGCCCACTCTTTCTTACTTGGTCTTTCCAGGCGATCCACGATTACACGCAGCAGGGTGACGACGAGCTCTCGTTCGTGCCTGGCGACATCATCACCCTGGTTTCCGTACCGCCGGGAGAAGAAATTGAGGGCTGGTTGACCGGCGAACTCAACGGCCGCACCGGCCTTTTTCCGGACAATTTTGTTGAGGAGCTGCCGTACGTAACTTGCTTGGCCATTTTTTTTTCGATCCCTATGTTCCTTTTTGGCTGTCGCCACACGTCCCGCCCACGCACGCCTTGACCTCACTCACTTGGCTTTTGCAATGACACAGCATGCCGGCAGCCGAGCCTCCCGCACCCACTCCAACCCCAGCGCCAAAGGCTGCCATTCAACCGCCAGCGCGCTCAACCTCTTTGGGCAAGCCACCTGTGCCCCGCAGCCCCTCCATCAGCCAGAAAGTGCCGCCTCCCCGCTCAGGCAGCACGGCCTCTACGTTGGCGCCGAAGCCAAGCGTTCCTTCCAGCAGCACTGAACCTCCAAAGCCAAAACCAAGCAAACCCGCTGCTCGCATCCCACCGCCTCAGAAGCCAGCCACTGGACCTGAAAAGCCTGCTTTGAAGCCACCCGCCAGTAAGCCGGTGGCTAGCAACGACAAGCCCAAGCCTCCCGCCCCCGTGCGCAGCAGCTCGTCGCAAAGTCTAGAGCCGACAGACAAGAATGATGACATTCCACCCTGGAAACGCGAACTCAATAACCGACGTAGTCGAGGAGCTTCCATGAGCATGGCCGCACGCCCCAAGCCGGCCGGTGACCCCGCTCCCAAGCCTACTCCAGCACCCGAACCTATTCCAGCCAAGACCCCCATCACTGAGCCTAAGCAAGGGTCCCCGCCAGCGCCCGCACCGGAAGCCCAGAAAACCGCAAAGCCCACACCCACCGCACCGGCTACCCAAGCAGCGGAGAGCGGCAGTGCGCCTTCAGTTGACAAGGCACACCTTGAGGCACTCGAGGGCAAGATTAATGACATGATGACCACGGTCGAGAAGCTGCGCAAGGCCATGCAAGTGCTGACCAGCGACCTGGACGCCGAGCGCGCCGAGCGCCTTAAGCTACAGGTTGAAGTTGACCGCCTCAAAAAGTTCAATGAAATCTGAGCCACCTGCCAAGCAACATGCCGCGACGAACATGGCGTGCTTGAACGCATCGCACCTCGTCCCTCTCAGCTCCTGCGTGGAAGAGGACAACGTGGCTTTGGGTGACGATCCGTTTTCGAGTTCGGGTAAATCTTCTCCGTATGTATGCCCATCCGACCCACAGCTGGAACCTCGTCCCAGCACCAAAGCACAGCTGCGGACGCTTGAGCAAATTGTAGAGCGCTGGCTGGTTCATCGTCTTCATTTGTTCTTCCTGCGTGGCTGCCACCCTTCAAACCAAATGCCTGTGTGTATCTCACGACGACGTGCTGCAGCATCACTGTTTATGTTGTTGTGTTGTTGCTGTTTGAATGATGACTTGCGTGCGTGCAAAAGATCGTTGACCATGAATTAATACGGTGGCCAAAACATTTCAAAGCCACGCGCGCGCGCGCGCGTGCACACACACACACACACACACACACACACACACACACACACACACACACACACACACACACACACACACACACACATAAACACATAAACACACATACATACATGGGGCCTGATTCAACAGGACGCTCAGCGTCAACAGCCGGTGGCACAAAAGAGGCACAGCCTCGTAACTCTTAACTCGTGACTCAACATCGAGATGTGGAAAAAAAAGTGCAAGCCCTGGAGCACATTGTGTAACGTGGGCCAACGCCCAATGATGATCGATCGACTCACATCGTTCCCGTGTGACGCTGCGAGTAGCCTTCGGCGCGAACATAGCGCTTAAAAGGACGCCGCTTGCGCGGTTTGGAGTTGGCCAAAAGCATTGCCGAGCTGGCACTGGCAGCGTCGGTGACCGATGCGGGCGGTTGCGGGCGACGCCGCTTGGGTGGTTCGGGCACGCGGCGGCGAGTCGAGGCCATGCTGCCTTGGCCTGAGGGGGCATTTGCGTCTGCCGTGGTGGCGGCAGCAGCGGCGGCCTCTTCTTCGGAGATGAGGCGGCGACCTGCTTCCAGCTGACCAAGTCGCCCGTTTAGGGCGTCTACCTCCGAGGAAAGTTGAGATTCTTGATGGCGAAGCATCAACAAACGCTCATCAATGGAATTTCGGACCTTGGGTGCCACGCTAGGGGCTGCCGCTGCGGTGTGCGAACGCACAGTCGAGGCTGACGGCATTTTTGACGGTCCACTCGTTGCAGGCTGCTGTGTAACGGTTGCTGCAGCAGAGGAAGGATCCGCACGGGGGCGCGAGCGCACTTGGCGGTGACGGGTGTAATGCGAGGCCGCGGATCCACCATGTGACGTGGAGGCGCTGGCTGGCGGGCGGGGCAGGCGCGAGGGCCCGGAATCTGGGTGTTGAGCGGCACTGTTTGCGTTTGATGCCGGGGGGTGCTTGGGCTCTTTACTCTTGGCTGGATTCGGGTATCTGGATCTGGGGTGTTGCGGCGGTCCCTGGGCTTGATTCTGCACTGGGGCGGGGCGGGGACTCTTGTGTTGGGCGGCAGCCTTTTCGAGTTTGAGGAACTCGTCCAAACTTTCGGAGGAAGATTGTAGAGCGGCGGCAGCGGCGGCAGCGATGGAGCTGTCCGGGTCGCGAGACATGCTCAGCGGGGTGGGCGAACCTGCGGGGCTGCGTTGCACGCGAGCGGGCTTTGTAAACGGGACAGCCCGGCGGGTACTGGTGGAATTGCGCAAGACGAGCATGTGGTCAGGGTGGGGGTCAGCGAGGGTGTGGTCATGGGGCGGCAGAGGGCTGGCAGCGTGTTCATGGTGGGGTCGAGCCACGGTGTCAGGCATTCGGCGGCCTCGAGCCACATAGTTGAGCGAGGCTGCCAGGGGTGGGGGCGAGGGGTTGTCGTGCAGGGAATCCATGCTGTCAATCGAGTCGAGCAAGGAGGCACGGGAGGAGTTGGAGTAGGTCCGGGCGAGATGCGGCGCGTGGGCCGCCGGATGAGGGGCGTGGGCCCCCTCGATGCTGTCTGCATCACCGCTGTTTTGGTAGTGATTATAGGGTTGTGCGGCGGGACGAGACCAAGCCTTGTTCTGCGCGTGAGCCATGTTTGAGTGGGATTCGGCGTGGCGAGGGTCTTGGTGGGTGCGGAGGGAGGGGCGCTCATGGCGGGGCGGCGGGCCCTGTGGGGGTGGGGCAACAGCTCCCTGAGACGAGGAGCGGGTATGAAGTTTGCCGTAGTACTGGCCAGGTTGCGGTGGGGAGTCATTGGAAGCCTGCGAGCTGGGATATGGGTGTGCGTTGGCGGCATAGGTGGCGGGAGCCTCACGAGAAAAGTGGTGTCGGCGGTGGGAGCCGCGGCTCTGACTCGGTCGGGACAAGTGGTCATGATTGGTGTAGGCGGGTCTGTTCTGGTGGGTCATGTCACGAATGGAGTTCCACACGCGCTGAATATCCTCCTCAGAGGGGCCACGAAAAACGGCAAGACCAGCGGGATAGGAGTAGGGGCCCTCTGGGGGCGGTGGCCCAGCGTCGGGCGGGTGTTGGCGAAATTGGGCCAGGAGTGAGTAGGCATCGCTGAGGACGGCATCACGGTGCGCATCGTCGCGGGCCATGTTCTTTTCAACGGCGGCGCCAGGTACTCGGCGTTGCGGAAAGGGCCCCTGCAAGCTGGGGGAGGGGGCTCTATGCACGGGAGGGGGGTGATGGTAAGACCGCGCTTGGGCCCAGTCGTGGTCGCTGCCGTCGGCTGTGTCGTGGGGATGGGATTGGTGTTGGTCACCGACACTCGTGTGACGGCGGGCGGCGTTGTGGTGAAGGTAGGCATGGTTGGTGTCTTGAATTTCTTGCCGACGGGCGGCCAGTTGAGCCTGCCGCTTGTGCTCGGTCGCCTGCTGTGATGCCTCTCGCTTGGCCTGCAGACGCCTGGGACATGGGCAAAACAGGAGAAGATGTTTGTTTGACCGGGGAAGTGTGAGCCATGGGCCAGAACGCGGTCCACGACCGTGAGGAGCCAGACACAGGACACGCAGGGCGAGGGACCCACCTGAGGCGTTCCTTGGCTTCATGGCGGAGGCGCGCACGGCGACGATCATCCTCCTGCGACTCCTGGCGCTGTTCAACAGCTGCCTGTCGCAGGCGATCCAAGTTGATCTGGCGGTGGCGGTTCGAGTACGCATTAACCGTGCCCGTGGCCGCCATCGCGGCCAGACGCTGTGTCAATATCAACCCCCGCCTCGACCCTGCAACCTCATCAGCACGTCTCTCCCCAACAACAACAACGAGCAAGG